AGAAGGATAGCTAGCGGCCACAACATGTAGAAAACTAGCTAGTGCCGCGCCAGTGCCAGTCCTTCTGACTAACAAGACTAGCGCAGGTGAAAAGAGAAAGAGGGAAAAGTCAGAAACCAAAACGCTTTTCCAAGAGCGAATACGACCACCCTCCTTCAGCAACCAAATACAACCCCCTCGATGAGGATCCCTAGGATAAACGTAAACTCCGTGTCCCTCCCTATCATTTGGCTTGGTGGAAACGTCTTTTCTGCTTTACCTTTCGCAAACTGTTCCTGATCCAGCGCACCAAACCCAATTAAATGAAGAAATAGATATGACCTGAAGAAACAAAAATCACTGTTATTTTCTAGCGTTGGTTAGGAGAATAGACATTGAATGCCCTCCCAGCGCCGCCCCTCCTCCAACTTTGCTCAAAATGCGGGGGTTCAAAAGCCAGTGAGTTATAACAACAAAACAGCTGTTATTTTTCGAATACAGTGGTTTGCAACAACATATTTATTTTCAATAGTTTAATCAATAGATGTGTTTCTTATACTTTGTTCAACACGTACAACGCACAAGCAACAAAACAACGAATAAATGATGTCAGCGTGACAACAATGAAACAATATTTCAACGGGGTACCCCAAATGTCAGACCGCAATGAGATTATTTTAGAGCAAGCTTTCAATGAGAGTATCTCTCAACTGTGTGCTGATTGCAGTAGGTTGACCATGGTCACCTAATTTGAATATAGATTCTATTACTGAAAGTTCTGTCGAGGTAGTATCCAAACCTGAAAACGAACAAATCATTTGTAGAGGGATATCAACCTGATCCATGGGGAACCACGTGGCACAATCACTTTCATAAGAACAGGATTTGTGGCGAGGGGAGGAGGGGAGGGGCAGAGCTCAATCATTTCGAAATGTAAACGCAGTTGGATCGTATTTTGATGTAGATCTTTTCACTAGGTTGTCGACTTGTTTGTATTTTTCCCCGTTCACGGGTGGCAGGCTACAGCTGTTGTGTGAAATATATAAGCGTACGTACTTTCGCGCTGGGGAGGAGGGGTCGTATTCGCGTCGTATGTCGGAGAGAGAGGAGAGCGGTACGTACGTGCTTTTGAGAGGAATTGCTGAAGTTGGTAAGGACCTTTTCCCTCTTGTTTGACTTTTCGGCGGTCCTGATGTTTTTTTCTTCCCCCTTGGAAAAAATGTGGGTATTTTGGGTGGTGGGTTGATCGGGCGGCCCAGCGTTGGGTAAAGGGTTCGTACCCGAGACCCTCACTTAGGTGAGTGGTGGGGGTGTTGTACTGACAGCCTCTCTCAGGAAGGGAGGTCTCGCTACCTACATTACCATTTTACACATTTCTTACGCCTGTACCTGTCACCGAGGCTATGTGCCCTTTTTCACTTCGGTTGGCAGCACAGCAAAACTTACAATTTCTGATAGCTTGGTGGAAGTAAGTGCACTCCTCCCTCCTCTCGTTTGACGCTAAGATCTTGTGGAGTTGGCCAAGATGGTAGGTAGGATGCGAAAGTCGGGGTCAAAACAAAGGAGGAAACCTGGGAGTGTCGTATTCTGCAAAAACTTCCACTACGTGATGGATGAAGGCCAGTCGGTAACGCGGTTCAACCGCGCCCACTTGTGCATCCTCTCACCGAGATAGAGTTGGCCCAGCGCCATTGACCTTACAGACAGAGTCTTTCAGGCTTTTCGAAACCATTCGTTTTATGTTGTAGGGGTACATGCGAGTACCACAAAGCGCACTTCGTTTTCTCTTGCGCGCTTGGAATGCCATTAAGGAGTGAAACACTTCTGTGAACTCACGACGGTCTCGATGATACAAAGCGTTCTTTTATGGAAGCCCAAGTGATGTTAAGCACGTTTTCACTCAAACGGTTCAGGTATGCTTGAACACAGGTATAACTAGGCTGCGTTCATACTTCGCACGCACGTCAACGTTTTGAGCGACTAGGAAAGTACAGGTATCGATCTAGCGCAGCCCGCGCATGGCAGCATTTCGAGCGTACGCCAGCGTACGGGAGTTTTGAGCAACTAGGAAAGCATAGGTATCGATGCAGCGTTTTAAGCGTATAGGAGCGTACGGACGCAAAGTATGAACGCAACCTTACAGAACTTCGAAATTCATCATGGAGTTTCGGACCATCAAACCATTTCTTATCCCTTCTTGGCATTCCCAGGAACGCGCAGAAAAATCAACCTTACTTTTGTGTCTCTCATAAAGCGATGTGGCCGCTCTGACAAAGTTCTTTAAGACCTGAAAGATTCCCTTCCTCTCTTGTTAGAGAGCGCTGATGAGCGAAAATGTAGAAAATGCCCGCCTCTCTCCTTCAACGCCTTTGCCCCTCCATTAAGAGGATTTATGGGATCATCCGCCACCACAGGTAGAAGTTTTAGAGCAAATATTTCAACCAACTAACCGCAAAATGCCACCCAATCGTTCACACATATTCCGGCCCCAATAAGTTCCGAGCCACGATTGACCGTGCCAGCAACTACCGGCACTTGCAATAAAGCAGCGAGTTCTCGTTGAGTTTCTGGAGGTGTACGAGCAGCTACTAAACATCCTTGCGATGATAGAGCACAATATGATCCTACCTGGAAAAATAACGCGTAAGATAAGAAAAGATTGAGGTTTCACGCTAAACATTTCAGGAAACTTCTTATGTAATTCATAATGTCGACATCAAAGCACAACAACTCACAAGAGCGTTCTGGCCGAGGCTCACTCGAAATACCTCAGTCTTTAAAGTATCGACTAGTGCCTCTTCTGTTTCCTGGCTTATTTCGGCATGTACAATAGCAACATGATCATTACATGCTATCACGTTTCCTAGAGCGGACAGGCGTTCATCAACTCGTCGGATTTTTACCTGAACAAGACAGACTGGCTAATTTTCTGACTTACGAAGATGAGAGCACGACTAAGTCGCTCATGTTGCACGTTTTGGGATAATTAAGACAATCTGCGGGTATCATTTATCCTTCACTACCTGCTCTTGAGAAACAGTACAGATTTTTACGAGAATGCTCGGAGCCTGCGCCACAGGCGCTAGCGCCAGATTATGTCGCGCCACTAAATTCATTCAAAAAGTCGCCCTCGGTAGTAGTTTAACTGGTGGACATGGATATCACAATCTTGCTTGGGTGCAAAGACCGGAGGAAGGGCATTTGAACGCGTAGCCTTTTCTGCTTGTGTGCATTCCCCTTCCTCCTTCCTCTTCTAAGGATGTCCCAGCAAAAAGAGGGATAAGTATTACCGACTACCACAAAAACCTTGCCATGTGCCCTCAACAAACATAAGCTTTGCTTGGCACGAAGCCGCCAGAGACATGCGACACGAGCTGTTTTGACACGCACATTCGCCAGTGTCAAAACAAATCCATAGCGCCGGCTTCTGTCATACAAGCGCCAGGCACTTTCGTGGCAAACGAATGTAGTACTCGTATTCAGAGAGTCAATCTTCCCCTGGGAGCAATTTTTCAGCGATTTTGAGGGTTCGAAGTACATCGCGCCGGCACCTTTGCACAGGAAGACATTTTCTTGCCAAGCGACTGTGATATCCGTTCGGGGAGGGGGGTGGTAAAAGTAAACTTGGGGATACAAGTCCAGACAAGTCGAAGATCTGATTCAATTTAAAAACAGGAGCAACAAAGGGTGAATAATGCCCAAAATTGATAGATACCGATCTACAGAATAAATGATACTGGTTCCAACCCAGTGCTTTTTAAGGATTCTCTGATTCTCCAGAAGCTTGGTTGCAAATGGCACCAAACTGCGATTACACTTTTGTCAGCGTTTTGGACGGAAAGGAAAGTGTAGGCATCGATCCACTGCTTTCAGCGTTTGAGGGAAAAGCCAACGTTTTGAACGAAAAGGATAGCATAGGCATCGATTGGCGCTCAAAACGCTAGATTGATACCTATGTCGCCGACGAAAAGTAATAACGCAGTTACTCTAATGGGCAATATTTGTTGAATTATAACTAGTCATGAATTCCTTCAAGCTCGAAACAAGTTGAATTACTTAGGTATGAACGAACCTCGTCTGGCAGGGAATTTCTCAAGTGTTGTAACTCTTGATCTGTAGTGCCGTTTGGTACGAGCAACCCATGTCTATTTCCTTAACAAAACCTTCAACATGGGCTACAAGAGAAATACACCAGTATGCAACACTAACCTACAGTTACTCGACCAACGATACGGGTAGAAGAAATTGAAGTATGCACAACTGGAATGACTTCTGCGAGCTCTGCCTCTACCGTGCTAAATAAGATAGTGCATAATACAATTCTTTAGAGCGCTACTGTGACTCAGGGATCTAGCGGCGGGGCGACCAAGTGAACTGGGGGCTGTTCTGCTTAAGGGGGGGGGGGGGGGTAAGGAGGAGGAGGACATCTTCCTGGTTAGATAGATTTTTTACGTGCAAGTTGACTGGAACGCTTATTTTGTGAAGCTGCGAAATGGAAGAACTGACCCACTTTGGTTACAAGAGGTGGGCATTCACAAGGTGATACAAGCTTCGCTAAGCATCGTTCGGTGCCCCAAACAAGCCCAACTGCGCCGTGAACTCTCCCGCTCCCCAGGCTCAGTCCTACAAAAGGCAGACAATTAGAGTGCAGGAGGTGTCGTCAGAGGAGCTGACTTGGTCGTGAACGCTTACGGCAAGCAACTTGTGTGGGGCTGCCTTTCCACCCCAGAGAACAGCAGAATATAATGAGCAGGAGTCCTGGCACACTTTATAAGATCAAATTTCAACACAAACCTGTAAAAATTCTGAGTTCCACCGATTCCAACAAGGCAGTAGCTATTAGTCAAGGTACAAAATACTCCGACGTCATTGCTGCCTTCATAATCAACTCGAAGTGCCATGGTTGCGATAAAAACACTGAAAACGATTCCAGTTAGGTTTTGATCAGTGAGAAAACAAGCGAGGTGTGAGAATTTGATGAGACAGCCACTTGGGAAGTAAAACCGAGAAGTAGTGGTGAACAGCAACGCAGGACTGACGAATATTTAGTGCGCTGTGTGTAGCATGACCCTAACACACTTCAATTTACGCCGCTTTTTTCTGTGATAGTTTCTGGCATTAGATTTTAAGCACCAGTTTTTTTTTGTTGCTGCCGGTGAGGTATCTACTTACGAGGTGATCTCTCGGAGTTTCTTACGCTGGGACAGGAGGTTAGCAGGGATAATCGTGAACTGATAGTCGGGATAATCGTGAACTGACAGTGAAGATTCCAAGGAGTACTGTGAGGGAGAATGGGAAACGGGATAGCGTTTGCAAGGACGAAGTTAGGAGGCATTGCTCGACTTATAAAAGAAAGAAATTGCTGGGTAGGGTAAGAGCTCAATGAATGATAAGGGAAATCACAACAGAGGGTTGGTAGTGGGATTGCACCAGAGTCCTGATACGCAATAGATGATTGTGAGCAAGGAAAAAAAGAAATGTGAACGTAATGTTGTGCAACATTCCTTGCCGACGTAACACCAGTGTACGCTACACGACAAAATTCCGTATTGTTTGGAAAAATGACGTATTCTGCAAACAGTTCGTTTTAGTCTGTCTTCATATTCACTTCATGATCTTAGTTATATGAGCCTATGCTACTTGTCTTACTGTGACGATGTCAATACTAGAGGAGATTAGTAAGCTTACGAAACCTGTGTTCGATTTACCAGACTTGGAAGACGAAGATGTTGATGGTAAGTAGGTGTTGGAAGTATTTTACTGCCTTAGTTTTAATAATTCTAGTTTACTCAGGCACTGCGTCGAAAGCTCTTAAGTCTACACTAGTTGAAAGCGATGATGGCCCTCCGAGGCGAGTTCGGAAAGCTATAGATCTCAGCATCGATGATGGCTGTAAGTACGGCGGCACCAAGGTCTGCTTGAATTCATATTATATGGGTTATAAAGATGTTTTTTTCGCCTAGACAAAGGTGGGGTTTCCTTGGAGTCCTTGTATTTTTTGAAACCATGTCATGACAGCTTTGAGCATTTTGCGATACGACCGAAGTGTACACTGTGACCACGGTCTACACTGCGGTTTACAGGAAAGCTACTTGCTCCTACAGTCTCGTTCGCTGCGGATGCTGGAGCATGTCACAAGGGGTGAGTTTGGTCCTGCGCGGTGCGTTCTCTACCATTGGTTGGGGGCAAGTGACAACAGCTGGTGGAGAACGGCCTGGCGCCGTGCCAAATCCAGCTCACTATGACGCTCCTTAACATCCGCAGCGAACGAAGCTGAATGCAATGCGTACAAGCCTTACTCCCTTTTTGTGGTGATAGATGCTAAAATACTCTGTCTTTATATTGAACCTCCTCTCATTGGGAGGATGCTTAACCTCGTGTGACTGTAACTTCCATAATAATTTCACTGGAGAAATGCCTCAAGCAATGTCAACAACGTTCTGTTATAACCGGATGGGCGGAGGCTCACAACCATTCAGTCTTTTCCATTGACGTTCCCCTACTATTCAGTGTATTAGAAACAAACGAGGAATACACTATGGTTATGAGTTTCCTTCCATCCGGTTATCACGAAATGGCTTCCAAGTTACCATGTAATGGCTGTAGGAACACTGCAAAAATGCCTTTTCTTTCACCTTGTATTCTTGATTTCTTGCCCCATCTACCCACTCTGTTTCGTTATCGCAGCTATTCAGGTGCTCACATTGTTTAGGTGTCCCGCAATGATATTTTCGATGAATTTTCCGAGATGGCAGGGCTTGGAGACCGATCAAAAGAAGATAATGACGAAGTGAGCAGCAGTAATGAAGAGGATGAGGAGGGTCTTCCAATGTTGAATGGTAAGCCTGGACCAAAATTAGTAAGGAATCTCTACAGCCGTGATCCCTGTAAACGCTACGGCGTGTGAAGGGGCGCTGTTGGATCACAGCCAGAGTAGCTCTTCCCGCCGATTGTTGCCGACTTAGGATAGCACCATTGATGGAAAGGCCGCCTTTACAGCGCTCCAGTCCACGCCCCGTCACAAGCCCCATCAGTTGCAGGGATCATGACTGTATGTTTATCGAGCGTAGTGAAACCTCAAAATCGAGCGAAATCTCGACCTTTCGCGTCAGTTGCCATTATTCTGCAAAATCTGCTAAGCGTAATGTTGCGAGCGCATTTCCATCCGCTCACACTTAGCAGAGGGAGAATGGGAGAGTCGGCGACTCTACGTTCTGGAGGAAGTGCGCTCTTCCAGAACGCCGATTCGTCGATTTGCCGAACTTCCTAACCTCACGAGTCGATACCTGCCCATTTCTTGGGCACGTATTCTCCTAAACCATCAAATCGCCGATTCTCCTGTTGTCCTGTCGCGAAGTATGAACGCAGCCTTATGATCGGAAGATGTTGAATGTTTTTATGGCACATCCATAGATTTTAGTTCGTCAAGGTGATGTATTACGCGAGAAAAGCTTATAGACTATTCAAAGTAATGCTGAACTTTTTGAGGTAATCTCCCCCACTCTCCCCTACCTGAGCGCTGAGTTATCCTATTTGTCATCTACGATTACTCGTTGGTGTGTTTTGATTGACTGCATAGGCGCGGCTATCTAAAGCCGCTATATTTTCTGTTCTTCTCACTCGCCTCTTACAGGGGATAAGCTTGGCGGATACAGTGAAGAGGATGGCGATGAAGATGAGGAAGAAAAGGATGACGAAGGAGTTGAAGAATGGTGTCGAAGGACCATAAAAGCTTATAATGAAGAAGAAGAAGAAGTTGATGAATATGATGAAGGCGATAACGGAGAAGTGAGTCGTACTCTCAGTTCGTAGGCAGGGCTCTATTTACAATGGGATCCCAGCGAAGGAGTCGTATTTGGTCGGTCGAGGTCCAGCTCTATTTGCTGTCGAGGGAAAATCAGTTCCGCGTTATTTTCTGATATCGATGACGCCCTTGACCTGCCTTGACACGTTTTTATTGAAGAAGGAAGTCTCAAAAGAAAGAACAATTCTGAGGGGTCGTACTCAGAATGTTTCATCCAACGGCAAGAAGTGCCTTGTTCGTGAGAGCGCCGAAGTCAGAATTCCAGATTGTATTCCTCAATGACTTGTCCAGCTTTGCAGGATGACCTTGGAAGAAGAGCATGCGGAAAGTGGAAACGATTCGGAGTCTGAAGTCGACAACGAAGGTGACGTTGCCGACAAGCAGTCTTCAGCAGTAACCATGAAAGATCTGATGAAGACAGTTGACCAAGACAGGCATACTAAAAAGCCACCTTTCAACACTCTGCCTTCTAGTTAGAGTTCAATTATACTGCAGCTGTGTTCAGAGGAGTCGTGTTCTGCACAAACTGCAGAACGCTGGAGGCGCTCTTAGTATGTGAAGAATAAAGCTACACGCGGACTGGCGAAGCTTTCAACTCAGTTACTCGTGGCGCACTTGCAAAAGATTTGTTGAAGTGAAGGGATAGAAGAACCGAAGGAAAATATAAAAATTGGGTGGAAGTCTTTTACGACTAAACTGCTAGAATCCAGCATTCTCTTTGTTGCGCTGTTTTTGAATGTTGGAAGCCGATTCGCAGGCTCAACCTGAAAATGCCGCGAAACTGGTTTTTTAATCTCTTGAGGACAGATGCACGTACTTCTATTGCTCATCGTCATTCACCATAGCTGCGATGGTATGGGAGAAAAAGGTATTTTGCCTGTTCTCATGAATACTTTAAAATTTCATGAAAGTGTATAATACCCGTTAAGTAGAACATGTTTAGGGCAGCAGACCGACCGATGAAGAGAAGAAAGCAGTGACGATGAAAGCTGGCAGCTGCAAAGAATTGCAGCGTATCGATGGGTTTTCTTCATGGAGTTTCATAAAATGCCTGGGAACATCAGTGATGGATGTGCAGTACCTTGAAATCTGTGCATATTTAGGGGTGAAGAAGAAGAATATGAGGATGACGATGATGAAGAGGAGGAGGAAGAGCAAGAACAAACTCGGCAGGCAACATCCATGAGTATGAAGTCATTGAGCAAGCGGATATGTGAGAGTGAAGAACAGTTCGCGAAGTTCAGGTGAGGCAGGATTCAAAATGAATCAGTTGGCAAGCTGCTTGATGGCGCTATCGTATACTGTGGATATCCAAAAGCGATGCCTTTCTGAGAACTCGTTCATTATTTGCGATTTCGGAAAACAGGATATGCGCGCTGAAAGAGTAAGTGAGAACCACAGGGCTCCCGTCGCTAGCGAGCGAGCATTCTTGGAGAATGGAGTGATGCCCGTTAAGAGGAACTATTCCATCGGGTGCTAGAAGAACTTGCAGGTAGTACGCAGGAATCAACCGATTCTCCTAGTCGCCTATTCTACCAGGTCTTGTGGTCGATACTGGAGTTTTGGTTGATGCGCGTTCTCCTATACGTAGATTTTTCCGCTTGTGTTTTCTCCTATTCTCCAGCGTCGCAAAGTAAAAGTGCAGTCCAACGTCTGATGCTGGCATTTATACTGCGTACATATTCAGCGTTTTCGGCTTCAGCAACGTTTTGAGCGTACGCCAGCTTATGCCATTGTTTCATGGGTGGTTTTGAGCTCTTCGCGGACAGTCGCTAGATCGATATCTTAGATACTTTTCTAGTCGTTCACATGGCTGCTGTAACTCAAGACTCTGACGTGAAGTATAACCACAGCCTCTTCGAAAGACAATTGAGAGTAGTTATTCATAACTAGTTGCCTTCTCGTGCGTACCTTCATGCTGTCTAAAATTACGAAGTTTTATGGGGCACGTTTTCATCATAAATGCTCCGTGATCGACTTGCTGCACTCTGCAACCTTTTAAGAGCTGTGTTCATGTTGTCGGCAGTCAGCTTCGGAAATTCTTTTTTGGCGCGCTACTCGCTGTCCACTAGCATTCAGTCATGTCTCGCTTCTGATGGGAAACTAGGAACCTCCATATACTTCGCAGTGCATCGCTGTAGTGGAGGATCACAAGTAGCACCATCAACCGTGAATTCCAATCTGAGTTTTGGCTATTTCGGATCTTTTTATAGCAGAACTTTGAGATATGGAATCAAAATCCAGCTTTCCGTGTTCTGTTTATTTCGAAATCGCTGAAAATATGGACTGACAGTGGCGGTACTTGGTGGTACCCTTCCCTTGGCTCATATTGTTTGAATTATATTCCTGCTTACTTTTTCGAGCGGTGGTTAAGGGATCAACACCTTTCACATTCATAGGTCTGGTTATTGTTTTCTCAAGGTGAACACATACCCTGCGCTAAAATAATTCGCAGGATTCCTTTTTGTCCAAATAGTGCGGTGTTTGTTCGAGAAGTTTGCGTCTTTCTCGCGGCTTCACAATGAAAGAAGAGAGCGCTGTGGTCACCATAAGTTGCAGTTATATACGCTACTTTATACCATCCTTCCTTCCTTGCCCAAGCAGTCTTGAAGGAATCAAGGAAACCTACTCAAGGACTTCTACTATACGGAAAATGACCTGAGCGCATGGGTCTTCTCTATTTACTTCAGTCCTCCTCCAACAATTAAGCAGGCTGGGCAGATGTACCATACACAGACTCTTCATAATAACTATTTTATAGGATATTGCTTGCTACCTTTTTCTTGCATATTTCTAGGCACGCGACCTTGGATCAGACGCTTGGGAAGGACGCAGGCGCGTTGGGGGGGGGGGCGACGGGGTTGATAGCCTCTCGCCGACCAAGAAATGCCAGCACAGATTTTTCAGCTTTTGAAAAGGAAAACATCGTCTCTCAGATTGAGAAGGTATGACTGATTAATTCTAAATGTGAATTTTTCCAAAGTCTTACCATCCAGAGCAAGAGCCAGGTGTTGTAGTGGTAAATTTGGACCACGATCGTTTTCCTTGAAATACATTTTTTCCTCTATTTCCTCGTTTTTTCTCAATAGCACCCTATTTACGACATCAACAGTAACACCCCAAATACTGACTACGCCTCTCCCCCTAAGGGAAATAGCACCCAAGAATCCATCGATAGTCTCCTTCATAGTAGTCTATACATGTTGATCCAAAATGATTGTTCTGGTTTGAGGTTTGTTCTGACAAACAGCGTTTGGTGAAGCGATCTCGCGTCAAGAAGTCTGACATAGAGAGGATTGGAGGGAATCCTGAGGTAATAATTTCATTTATTTTGTTTTTTGAACAGTAGTCGTTGCGAAGAGCTCGATACATAGCTGCTTAGAACACTTTAGCTGATGACTTTTGAGTAATGAACACATGTCCCTGTACTGAGCTGTCTCCACTGATACGTGTAGAAGGGATTTGTAGTGAGCACGTTTCATATGTTAACTGGTTGGGCGTGTCAGTGCGGCTGCGTTTGGCACGCCGCCAGCCCGTTGAAGCTGCTGAAAAACGACTGATGCGAATGTAAAACTCAGATGTAAAAAAGAGTGGTGGTAACGGATTAATGGCTCATTTGCTCCGGATTTTTCTAGCAGGATAGGGTCAGCACCTGAAGATGCAGAACGATTGAGGTCACTTCCAGAATATTGAGAAAACACGTAATTTGCAGGCCGAGGAAGACGAGGAAATTTACGACGACGATGATTTTTACCAAGTTCTCTTGAAAGAACTGATTAGCAAGAAATCAAGTAACACTGAGGACCCTGTTGCAATGACCAGGTCAGTTTTTTAACCATATTCAGCTATTTTTCACCGCTTGTGCAGATGTTTCTCTGCTACGTTTTCTTTAAACCGGTATGTTTAGGCATTATATTGAAATGCAGAAGCTGAAAAGTAAAAGAGCTAGAAAAAAGGAAATTGACAACCGAGCTTCTAAGGATAGAAAATCAAGTAGGTCATCACTTTTCTTCCTAAAGAGTGCACATTTCGGGAACTACTCCCCTTTCTCCGAAAAGTCATTGCTCATCACCTGCTGGGCATTCGAGGACTCCCTGTGCAAAGCTGGTTGCCGTCTTCGGGACAGATTACCATACTTTGAACTTGCTTACTTTGGAGCCCCTCCCGTTTTAGTTCCATGCAAAAGTCCCCTTCATCCACTGCGGTTATTCTGGTTACGCTCAAGAAGTCCTTTGAATGCCTCTTCTCGAGGTTATTGTGCCAAAAGCTCTATCATTTCCCGCTTTACAGATACCTTCCAATTCCTAAACTGGTGAATTTTCATCCAGCAATGCCGGAAATGGTCGAGTGGAATCACGAAACGCGGAATGAACTCTTCAAGTCTTTATTTTCATAGTTTCCCTAAGTTGTTAGTGAACTCAGGACTCTAGTGTTTCATTGTTGTCTGTTGATACTAGAGTTTATTGAATATACATTTTATTTTTCATCGTACACATGACACATGTTCCTCTCTAATATAATTTTGGGATTTGATTTAGGGAACACAATTTTGGCGTAACTGAACAAAAATCGGAACAGGGCTAGTAGCTCTGAACTTGAGAGCACACAAAGCTATCATAATAGTACTGACAAAAACAGCAGATGGCAGCACTTTTCAATATGTGCCTCTGAGAGAATACATGCTATATGGCGAGTAAAGGACAACTAACAACTAAAATTAGTTTATAAACACACATAGTTTCTATACTATTAGCTGGATATAATCAGCAGCTGTGAAAGAAATACGTAAAAGTAACTCTGAACATGGACAACGAGTATGCCACCGTATTAAACGCCCGTAGAGCAACCGTATCACATAAGGCTTGTACAACTTTCATGGAACAATGACCTTTATATTCGGCCTGCTAGCTCGTTCTTGTATACATACGAACATACCTGTAAAGAGTAAACAATTATTGAAAATCGAGGCGCTTACGCGCGTTCATACTTCGCGATTTGACCACTTGGATCTCTTCAGCGTTCGAATCGCGAAATATAAGCGCTCTACCATAGCTGCCGGTAGCATTGGGGTGGGTTGATTGGCTTGGAACAACCCCCAGAACCCGACACATCCCCTCCCACACTTACCGAAACCTTGCCGTTGAGGGGGAGGGAGGGGGGGGGCACCTGTCAATAACTATCAGAAAGGATAGTTTCGCTGCGCCGGGATCAATGCGAGAAAATTGAGTAGAGCGCGCGTGAAATGAAAAAAAAACCGGTCGGAAAAATTTATCTCGAGACCAAGTACGATCCCTTCCACCGGCGATTGAACTCGATCGTGGACCAAGTAATATCCTGAACGTGAAAATGTTCCTTTGGCCTAATACCCCTTCCTACTTCGCTTCCCCCAACGGCAGGCAACCAAGATTGGTGCAAAAGTAACTGGCAAAACCATGTCTTTCCCTTTCTCCAACATCCGAAGCGAACAAGATGTACGTACAACTTCAGAATCAAACTCATAAAAGCCCCTATTCAAGCCTCAGACTTAGCATACTACCAGAGTCGACGTCTGTGGGCATGGTCTCGCGTATCGTCGGAACTATCTCAATGTTAAAATGGCATGGTGTAAACCTCAGAGTGAATGACTCACTTCTCCATTTAGCTTGCGATCACATGTTGGCCAAAAGATGCACGTATCGGGATCAGTCCAACAAAGCAATCCCAGAGCTATGAAGAATATCGCCGAACATTTGTGACAAGGCCTAAAATTTAAATAAAAGCTACGGATGTTAGAAACGTATTAGGGACCATGGAAGTGCTTGATTTCTTGGAAGGTTGAGGTAGTCAAATCGAAACAAGCGGTATTGATATCTCAGAAGGTTGACGAAGAACCCAAATTGGAAGTTGGAACATACAGTGTTTGATATTTCAGAAGAAAGTATGGTAATCTGTCCCGAAGACGGCAACCAGCTTTGCACAGGGAGTCCTCGAATGCCCAGCAGGTGATGAGCAATGACTTTTCGGAGAAAGGGGAGTAGTTCCCGAAATGTGCACTCTTTAGGAAGAAAAGTGATGACCTACTTGATTTTCTATCCTTAGAAGCTCGGTTGTCAATTTCCTTTTTTCTAGCTCTTTTACTTTTCAGCTTCTGCATTTCAATATAATGCCTAAACATACCGGTTTAAAGAAAACGTAGCAGAGAAACATCTGCACAAGCGGTGAAAAATAGCTGAATATGGTTAAAAAACTGACCTGGTCATTGCAACAGGGTCCTCAGTGTTACTTGATTTCTTGCTAATCAGTTCTTTCAAGAGAACTTGGTAAAAATCATCGTCGTCGTAAATTTCCTCGTCTTCCTCGGCCTCGAATAAAAGAGTTATAACGATAATTAGCCAAATGGTCACGGATTCAACGAAACAATAGGCTAAATCAGGGAGAACTTTGGCGTATGTGACGGTGATGTGGGTAAATGAAATGAACGCTCCACATTCAATCGATCAACGCACGCCGCGCAATGACCGCGACGCGACCGACGATGATTTCGCTGGCGTGAAATGTACGTTTGTCAATTAAGTTCTTCTCAAACTAGCCAAACAACAAGAATACAACCCAATCAGCTTTCCCGCCGTTATTCACTCGTTTTGTAATACGCTCGCTTTACGTATTTTTACACCAAAGCTTGCCGTAATATTGCGGACAGCTTTATCAGTTCAAAAAGCTGGCCTCAGTACATTTTATTTCATTTCTTCTGTGATTTCTTCTAGAAATGCTTCAACGAACACGGCCACTAGCACAGTCCATTCGTGCTTATTCGGCATCTTCGTCTGCAGCCAAAAAACAAAGATAAAAGATGGGCCATCTTTCGCGGATTTTGTATAGTACAGGGTTTGTTCCCTTCTATTTCTATTGTTCCTTCTATTCATTTTTTCCCTTTATTACCACTCGGCCGCTTTCATACCATGCGACCAGAAATGTATTAAAGTTCCACGTAAAGGATGTATATTCTGCTTGAGTGACATTGAAAGGAAGTAGATGCGTATAGGACTCTCCACGATTCTCAGGAGGGCGGGATCAGCCGTCATGCCGTGTGATCTTTTCGCAGTTCTCCTCATCTCCTTGTGTTGCCAAGGATGTAATGGGGGTCTATCATCTCGCCGTTGTTTCAATGTGCTTTTATAGCATTGCTGCGGTGCGACTACACCACTGCTGAGAACCCAGTTCATAACTTCGCTGATCCAGTCGCTTGTTGGATCGCCGCTGACTTGAAATGGCCCGGCGAGATGTATGTACACATGGTGAGTCCTCGATTGTTTTACATACTTACTTATAACGCAAGGAAGTGTCAAAGTCATGCAAGCTGCTGGCCACAGTACGAAAAACGCCTTCATAAACCCCTTCCTCTTGCTGGAGCTTCATCCCCAGAACGCACGGACAGAAGCTCGCCCTACTTCGCAGAGCATGACAGTCTGCATATAGTCTTAACTGCTCTTGCGCTGCTGGCCTAAGCCTTGATTAAGGGAAGCTGTCGCTGGATCTCATTGGCTGCGCTCATTCTACATGATTAGCTCTTTTCGTGTTGCCTTCACCATGATCTAGGGATTTCCGATTTTCTCAGAGCGTAGTATGCCATGTAAAAGCTGTGGCTAAATATCACGGAAAGTTGAAACTCGAGAAAGGCGACCGTCGGTTACGGTTACCAGATTGGTTAAAAAAAGAAAAGGTAAGGCATCAAGCTAAACGATTCGGATATTTCCTGTGTTTTCTATACTACTTTAGGTTCTTCAGGTGAAACTAAAATGTTTATACACGGTTAAAGATGAGCAAATTAAAGGGCCCTGAAGCTCGCACAGTTGTGTGAAGAGGCAAAGGTCTGTTTGAACCTTGTTTGTTTTCTCTAAGTTTTCTCTGGACTTGCTTCAGGTGTCCAAACTTGGGAGAATGCTGGGGAGGCTCGAAGGATTCCATGAATATCAACAGCCACGCATCCTATTTAATTGCGGGTTGATACCGCTGCACGAGAGGTTTGTAGGTAATCCGTTTTTGCAAATGCCTCTCGGATCTGCCAACCATGTGATACCAGTTTTATTCGCTGTCGGATGCATGGGCGGTGTGCAGCGAGCTCGTTCAACAGGACGCCAACCCGTTTCCATGCTATGTCTTGGCAGCTGGTATACTGACAGGCAGTCGCGGGGGAAAAGAGCTGATCGGCCGCGCCCTCATCTTCGTTGACATGAGAAAGTAGATTTTGGCGCACAAATTTGATAGAAGATAATGTAAATGATTCTGTAGGCATTCCTCTAGTTCTATAGAGGCAGAGAAAGCAGTAAACAAAAGCACGGTTTTGAAGCTTCACCCATATTCCTTCACCTTTTTTATTTTTGCAGGTTCTGCTCAGTAAAAACCTCCCGAAAGCCACCTCCATTGGATCCGCTGGAGAGGCCGGAAAAACAGCGTTGCGGTGAAGTCGATGGGATGTAGATTTACTAAGTTGTTCACCTCACGTTTGATCGGTAGGTTTTCAAAGTTACTTTTTGGTGTATTTGAAGGTTATTCTACTGGAGTTCGCGTTCAGAGATGACGTAGAAGATGGCGGTGCAAGTCATCTTTCCAAAACTGTCCAGCTTATGAAGAAGGAAAGGCCAGAACTGCTGATCGAATGTCTATTGCCTGATTTTGCTGGTTGTACCGATAGTATTGATATGATGGCCTTTGTGAGTGCATTCTTGCGTCAGTAGTGCATCATACACCATATTAGTATATCTATTCCCGCCACGGAGGCAATCGTATTATTCGCTGGCAGGGGAGATACAAGCGGTGTTTAGCTGCTGAAGAACTTTTTTGCTACGTTGATTTGCCTTGATTTCAGGGACGTTGCTGAAGGGGAGGGGTCCATTTTGCTGGTCTTCGAAAAGAAGTTGTGATTTTCCGTAGGTTTTTTCCTGTTTTGTGTCCAATATACCCCCCCCCCCCCCTCCTTCAGCGACGGGATACGCATTTCGCCTTATTAGGAGCATATTGCACTTTCGCTCTTTCCAGTCGTCACGTTCATTGCTTTACAAGAGATGCCAGTCAACTGCCATTATTTCATGCTTTCACAAGATTTCACAGATCTCTGTTTAATGGATCGACACGACGATTCCCCCCCCACCCAAGCCTAACTGCGCCCAGCAATCTTTACATAAATCGTCCTTCTCTGTAGAAAATGAAACAATGATGAGGTCACCGCCTTCGTTCTAGAATGAACCTGCTTGATTCGTTTCATTTAGAAGTGGTCTTGACGTCTATGCTCATAATGTGGAGACTGTTGAACGACTAACACCATGGGTTCGAGATCCAAGAGCGAAGTATCACCAATCCCTTGCAGGTTAGCCTCTTAGCCTCATGTTTCTGTCAGTTTGTATTGCTTTACTTTCAATGACATCGTTTCTGTTGCAGCACTGAAACGGGCTAAAACAACAAATCCTAAACTTATCACGAAAACATCAATAATGCTTGGTCTTGGCGAGCAAGACGATGAGGTAGCTCCGTTGATTTTTTCCTGCTCGTGTTCTTCTTATACGAAGAGGGTTTAGGTTCGACAGTGTTTAGCTGATTTACGAAGTAATGACGTAGATGTGGTCACATTTGGCCAATACATGCAACCAACCAAGCGGCATTTACTAGTGAAGGAATGGGTAACTCCTCAAAAGTAAGTACTCTCAAATTAGGCACTGTTCGGCTCAGGGCTTGGAGGGGGTGGCCTTTTGCTTTTTCGCTAGTTTCTATGGATTGTTTCTGAATTGCATGTCTCACATTGTTGAGACCTGTAAGCTGTTGTTAGTTGCATAGCTCTGCAGAAATTTACAGGTGTTCGTGTGAGGTGTTGACATTGCCAAATGGGGACCAAATGTCCCCCTAAGCCGAACTGCGCTCGAGTTTTTTTTCAATTTTTTGGGCACGGAATGCCCCAGATAATAGCGGACGAGCCAGGCAGGATCTACGCCCAGGACTTCCGGTCACTTTTTCCTTCTTGAGGACTGTGTTTGTCGCAGTTCCCGAGGACTGTGGGGCGTAGATCCTGCCTAGCTCGTCCGAAATCATCCCTTGTTCGTCCCATATCCTTCCTCGCTGAGAGTCAAGTAGTCAGTTTCCTGCAGGAGAATGTGTAGCTCTACCACAGCACAAGGTGTAATTTGGGGCAAAGGGAGGACAAAGGGAGAGCTGGGCTGCCAAAACCTTTGCTCCTTCCTGACTACCCGAGTATGTATTAGAGCGTGTTTATACTTCGCGAATCGATTGCTTGTATCGCGAAGTATGAACCCGCTCAAAGTTACTTACTTTCATGAGTATGTCGCAATCATGATAATCCTCCGTTCAGGTTTGATGAATGGGGACGCATTGCCCGGGAGATGGGATTCCTGTACGTCGCATCTGGTCCATTAGTACGATCATCATATAAAGCGGGTGAATACTACTTGAAGAATGTACTGCGAAAGAGGAACGAACCTGAGAAAGTACAACAAGAGGCGTAGATTGCTAGTTCCTTGTCCTCTTGCCAATGTACAGTTTTGCTCGCTGGGGATAATGGGACAGTGTCAGCTCGGCTACGTTTGGCGCGCTGCCCACCCGTTCTCTACCATTTGCTAAAAGGCAAACAAAATGGTACTTGGTGGAAAACGACTGATACGAAGGATGTGGTAGAGTCTTGCCGCTTGCCAAAAGAAAAAAAGGTGCTGCGCCAAACGCCGCTGCGCTGACATGCCCCATCATCCACAGCGAGCGAGATTACATAGATTGTTTTATCAGTAGCTTTAGTTAGTCTTAGGACGTTCCCCCTACAGCTATGTGATATCTCGTTGTTACTAGTCGTGATCACTGCTCCATTTCTTCAAAGATTTATTTTGAAAAAAAAAACTGTACGAAAACAGGCACTTGATTTATGGAAGACATTAAAGAATATAAAAGGTATATACGATGTTTAACAACCAGCCGAAGCTGAATCCAAATAAAAACATGGAATCCCTGACAAACCATTCACAAATGAAGTGTGTAAGATTCCAATCGCGGCGAGTGTCGTGCAAGGCATGAACACGGAACCCAGCTTGACCTCAACTGATATTGTCTTCGACATGTTTGAATCAATTGACTAAGGGAATCTGCATGTATCTGCACAAGCTGACAAAGTTACATCTGTTCGCTGCGGACGCCCTAGGACCTAATCAGCAGGGCTGGGTTTGGAGCGGCATCAACTCGCCATTTAACAACTGTGAACTGACAGGCGACCACAATTGGTAAGAAGCTGAGCGCCAAACCCAGCCACTTGGCCCGAACGCAAGCAATAATGCATCGTCCTCCCAACTACACTCATAAACAAACCTCCCCATCCAGTTGTATCCTAAAACACAAACAGGCCTAGACGTTAATAAATGTTACACTAATACAATATAATAAAAATCAACAAGCAAACAATATAGGCTATGGGAAATGCATCAACAAAATCAAGGTAACAGATGTAAAGACTGGCGAAGTTTGAGGAGCCCATGCTGAGCAATAAGGCTGCTCGTCTCTCGCCTATTCATCAAAAGTTGTGGGAAGCGTAGACGAGCCCGTCTCTTCTAACAGTCCAGACCGGGTGCGTTTCCAAAATTATTTTGCATCCGGCGTTTACTTCGCAAATCAGACTCCTGCGCCCATCAATACCTATACTATCTCTTCCGCTCGAAACGCTGATTTTCAAATGCCAGATCGAGATTTGTACATTAGCTAGCCCTCCCCCTAGCTTAGGCATATATCTAAGGTCCAGCAATACAAGAACAGTGCTCAGGGGAAAGTTTCCAGAACAGCGAAAATATCTCGACGACATAATGTGTGAAGTGCGTGCATCGTGAAGCGACCGAAACGTCAACTCCTGAAATTGGAGGATCAGCCTTTCAGAAACCCACGTAAAAATCGTACAGACACTTACAATGCTTCTCTTATTTCATCTTCCCCCAAAGCAGACATCAGTTTTCGACACTTAATCGATAGTTGGAGGTTCTCTGACACCAACTTCTTCACATGGCCATTTCGCTGTAGAAGTAGTGTCTCGAGCTGTTTCACTCTGCAACATTTTCACTTGTGGGGGCTACGACATTTCTAATGTACGCAGGGTACTGCATTGCTACGTTGAAAGAAATATTGCGGTGTCAGTACGATCACCCAAACATCGTCCCAAAATTCTCCTCACTCAGCCCACCTACCACTTCCCCTAGTTTCTCCAGCTCTGTATCAATTTCCCACCTTTTTTTTACCAAGTTCCTCTTTCCCCCAAACGCCATCGAGGGAGGTCCTCTCCAGTCCTACACAGTAGCCCCTACAGTCAGCTATCCGAAACAGTGTCTGTTTCGATTGAGGCTCTTCCTCGTTCCAGATCTCTATACCCCTTTGCCGGACCTCCGGCTAAGGGGTATAGCGATCTGGAACGAGGAAGAGCCTCAATCGAAAAAATTTTCCTAAAGGCCAAATATTGCCCTCCTGCGCAGTGACGAGATATTTCCTAAAATGAGTTTTGCACCGCGATACTCCAAGTGGATCCGTCATTGGATTACCAAGGGGAACAATAAGAATGCCTTGAATCCAAAGCGGTTTTTGGAAGACCTCACCGGTGACCGAACACCGATTTGACTTACCTCAACATACTCGCTTGGAGCTGCTCCTTAAGATAATTGTTTTCTCCTTTCAGTTCACGGTAAGTATGTCCAGCGATCTCGCGGCCTTCAGACGATAAATACGGTGAAGCTGTAGCCCTTAATGTTTGTTAATCACCAGTTTGTAAAATGGGAATGGATTTTCGGTTACGTAAACTATTTCTTTCAAATCGAAGAGGATGTTTTCGAACATTCTCCGGATATTCTTTCAAATCAACTTCGAAACTTTTCAAAACGAACAGTGATGTGAGTGTACTTCTGTCAGACACATTACACGTGCAAAATGCACATGCAGAT